TCGTAGAACACAAATGAGAACACATCTTATCAGAAACGCAAAACGGTAATGATAATTACTTTCTATCTATGTATATCGAAAGCTTAATGTTACATTCTTCGTATTAACTGTATTTGATAGTTCAAATATTTGGTAATCTGACAAGAAATCATAGTAGCGATATTACTGATATTCAAGATTTTCATTTCAATAAATGTCTCTGTTGAATTGTTACTATATTATTATTTTCAAATGTATATATATATTCTGATAAAAAAAAGTATCTCTCTTTATCGTTTACATCAATATAAATTATAACCCGGTATTTTTCATATATCTGTAATTTTTTTATCTTAACATAATAATATACAATGAATATTAAATGAGATATTTTATCGATCGTATAAATATTGCGATAAAGATTAAAAGTTAAATACTCAATAATTTTCTTTTTCTCGTGAATTGTAAGTCGATAAACGATTCGTAAAAGATTTTTATTCGTAAAAATGATAAAGACCATCGATGTAAAATTATTACTGTACACAGACAAGTAAAATTATATTAAGAGAAACTCGTCAAATTTAATGTACAACAATTTTAAATCGTAGACTTAAAAGAGCAAGAGGAACATTCCCCTTCATTCTTTTCCCTATAATTACAATTACATACAGATGTAACATTTTTCATTCGATATTTTAACATTAACCAAATAATTTTTCAAATGAAATCAATCAATCAAACCTGCATTCCTTTCGACCAACTTATCGGCACACCTGTTAATTAAATACAAAAAGAAACGAGAAGTTCGAAATTTTCTCCAAGTGTGTTCAAATTCTTAAAATTAGTAGCTAGTACCTCCTCGTAATATTTACGTTTGTTAAAAACGTTAACGCGATGATATAATTATTTAGGAAAGAAGATTATATAGCATTACATAATTCACTGGATACAGAAATTTTATACATCAATTTACAAATGGTTTCGGCATACAAGGCGCCCCTGCTTACTTGTAAGAGACATACCACTCTGTATATGGCAACATCAATCGGTGTCGCGGCTTAATGTTTTCATTTATAACTTCACTTTGTATATCGCTACCGACTGTACGTTCCTTCGTCCGCATCGGTTGGTATTTTCGAAGATGATCATTTTGGAGGAATGCACGCGCACACAGTTACAGCGGTTCGCGCCCGCCGACAAGTAACTTATACGCACACCTCAGTTGCTGCATTCTCGCGCCAACGTTCATCGGCTTGCATACAACAATCTTGTGATTATGCGCATGCAAATACTAACACACGAATGCAACATCGTAAATTGCTCTCTGCTCTGGAACAAAATGCCGTGCTGCGGTTTATGCGTTCATGTCGCTGTTATGTCGAGGTTTTTGCCCGAGCTGCCACCGTGTTGGGTTACAAATTCTGCCGGTATTTCTTCTTCGCCGTCACCGCGGCCTTCTTTTACTCTCTTTTCGCTGCCTGTTCGCGCGCCTATACCCCCCTTGTCCACGTTGCGCACTGATATTCACGTTCTCTTGTTCGTCGATGCTCCGTTCCCGTCCACCCCACCAAGAAAACAGAAAACACGAGGATTGACCCCCTTCCCTTGTAATATCGCGCGAAATTTGTGATACAATTACAACCGACCGTAAAAGGAAGGAAAAAAAGAAAGAAAAAAAAAGGAAGAAAGTACACGAGTCACATCAGCTTCTATGTACACGTATTAAGCCCTGTGCACACGGTTTTTGCCCCGACAAAATGTTTTCTACATTTGTCCGTTGTGTTGTTGCTCTCCGATTGGAAGGAAAATTGGAGGAAACGATCGTATAGATCGTGGGGCGGAAAATCGCTCGTGTGCATCGGACCTAAGGCTTCGGTCGGACGATATTGAAAAAAAAAAAAAAAAGAAAAAACCAAGTTATATATCGCGTATGTTGCAACGTCCATTGTAAGGTTCATTGGATAGCATATGAGCAATCATACAAGACGTCGAATTTGACGGCTTTAACTTATGTAACTGTTCGATACGATATAACGTTGCAATATACGATGCAACACATACTTAATTTTTTTCGACTGTTGGCTGCACGTTTTTTTTTTTTTTGGAAACAGGTTTTAACTTGTTTGTAAAATTATTTCCAAAATTTATATTTTATTTGATAGAGGATTAAATATCGTATGAAGAAAATTTAGAAGTTACAGATTAATCGTTTTAAAATCATATGAAACTATATATAATTTGTTTCTATTGTATTTCTTTTTTCAATTGAAAACAAAGGAGATATGGAAACTTAGAGAAATGAAAAAATTATTAACATGATGGTACAAAGATGAGGGAAAGATAAACGTGTAATTCCATCTTTGATAATTTTGTAATCTTTAGCGTTGGATATTAGGTGACATCCATCTAATGTAATAGTAATATAGATTATGTTTCGTGGTTTACAATCGTCTATTAATGGTTGTATTAATGGCAACTATCTGAATCATGTTTACGCCAATGCATTGACGTTCGTATCTCACTTGATCTTGACATATCCCGTTTGTTCACTTCATCTTGCAATACTATATGATTCGATTTGAGATATGACTACTTCTTTCAGTAACAAAAATTCATCTTATATTTATGATTGCGCGAGTGAAAGTAGACATATAAAATTATAACCAATCAAACATACATTCTTACCACTTGCCATTTTCTCATTTTTCTTGTCAACTTTTATTTTAACATAAAAAAAAAAAAAAAAAACGAACAATGATAACGAGGATTATCAATTTCGAGCATCGAGTAAAGATGAAAAACGTTCGTGAAGAACAAATCGAACGATACTAATTGTAATAATTAATTGTAACTTTCGAATGCAAATCAATTGTCAAATCAGAAATTCTATATCTATATCTCCATCTTTGTTTCCATTTTTATTAGTAACCATTATCATTCGTAATCTTGAATTCTTGTTAATTGCTTGCCTAACGTAAAAAATTTTGTTGCTCGCTGTATCATAAATGAGTCATAAATTAAATCGTGAAACAATGAGTTAATCGAGATACTCAAACAAATATCGACAATTAATGAAGTGTCAACGTGAAATGATCGAGATTATATCGAACGAAGGAGAAAGCGATCTGTTTAATTATATGGTTGATTTATAATCCTATATTCTTTAATTCCAATTATTATTTCTTTTATTTTTTTTTTTTCTTTTTTTTAACATAATCGACTGCTCTATTTTATTTTCGTATGAATAATCAGTGACACACGAATATTTTTACAAGATGTTAGGATTCATGAGAAACAAGAAGCAAGATTAAAAAAAAGGTTTGACGTGTATTGATTAACAAGTAAGAAAACACGAACAAAGGTATTACAAAATAAGAGAACGAGCTGAAGATGGATGTGAGGGGAAAAGAAACTGATCATACGAAACACGAGGGAAAAAAACTCAGCTTCAATAACTCTCTGTCTTGTACACGTTGTAAATAATAATAACCAATTTATGCATCAAACTTGGAGCCATCAGTTCGCGCACTAAAATGGCCAATATTTCTGATTAAAAAACTGATTCCATGTCTGTTACGCCAATGCAATGTTCGGTTGGTCGCACAGTGTCGGTCATTTCGCATTTCTTCTTTGCCCTGCCCCTTCTACGTGCCTTTCTCAAACCAGTTTAAGATTAATTCATACTCGGAGATGTTGATATTCCTCGTTCAATTTCTCAACACGATAAAAATAATTTTATTTACGAGTAAATTTCACCTTTCGACGATTAAAAATTTACGAGATTGATAAATTACATTGTAACGTCGTTTTCGAGTGGGCGAATAATGTAAAGTTAGTTACTCGCACAGTTGTGAATCGAGCTTAAATTACCCTCCCACCGTCGCATCGAATGTTTCCCACATCATACGTCTTCTCGCCGACAAAGTAGCAATGTTGCATTCGGATTTATTCCATACCATACATCTTCCACGGGGCTAAACTCTCCATTTAAGATTATAGTTAGACGAATATATTGTGCATTGGCGTAGACAATCGATGGATACGTACTGATGGGATGAATTTACGTTAAATTCAATTTAACGTCACTCGAAATAGCTTCTAATTATCATATTTAATGAACATTCAGAAAAATTATGAATTAACAAAATATTTTCTCTGCATTGTTCCTTAAATATATTGATAACTGTTATCTAATTGAAAAAAAATTAAATTAGAAATCACAATCTGTGACAATTTCTTACTATTTTTTCACTATTTTAAGTACAATTGTTTATGGAATATTAATAAATCTAAGATAAATTCAATAATATTATTTGTTCCTTCATTAACAAATTTCTCAATTTTTATAATACCTTTGTAAAAGTGATTCTTTCTGAGTTTGTTTTATTCGACATGATTGTGAGTGATGTATACGATTAATATTATTACTTACTGTAAATAAAAAGTTGTGTATCTAGAACTCGATGGCTCGTTCCGATTCAAATAGATTTTGTTCAAACATATAATATAAAATATATTTTACAACAAATATAATAATTATTGTTACGATATAAATTTTATGGTGCCTTTTTATATAGAAATATTCGTTGTTAAAACGTATATATATAGATAGATATTCGAGTTTCTGGATCATTTGATTAATAGCGCTGGTTATTGTATACGCAACCACGGTTTAAATCAAACAACGCAATGAATGAAACCACAATTGTATTGTAAGCTTTTTACAGGTAGTTGAAGAAAAGGAATTCCTCTGCATAGTCTCGATTCCATCGAATGTCAATGTGTATGCATCGTCGTGACTGACCACGTCACCTATTCTTGATCATTGTCAACAGCTTGTTGCGACTAGAATTCCACCATTTCTATCAATTCTGATCTACGTTCAACAATTTTCTGTAATTTGATCGCAATCAAAAATTCTCTATATATTTGATCAATGAATATTTTATATTATAAAAATAATATAATAAAAATTATCAATTTCGATCATTGCCATAAGTAGCTGTATATAATTACAGCAATCCTGCTTTTCTCAATATAACAGTTTTTGAACAATTGCTCGTGAACAGTGAGTTCATGTTGATGAATTCGTGAACAGAACAGTTTGTTTCTGTGAATTGGTTTATGTTCATGAATTATGTTCGTTGATAGTGTGAATGTTTCTGTGAATAATAATATTCAATATGTTTATTATACAAATATACATGGATTTAATATTGATTTTAATTTGCAGGATTACAGTGAATTTCTTGATAAACTAATTTCCTTACAAATTTATTGAAACAATTATTGAAAAATATTATCCCATAAACAAAATTCGTTCCACGAACAGTTTGCATATAGTCGCCAGAATGACAGATCTTCAGAAAATGCACGTACTGTAAATAGCTTAAGGGATGATTTATGACACATGCTAGATTTGTTGAGCATGAGATCATAGCTATTTCTAGTAGAAAAAAAAAATCAGAATATTAGTACATAACAGGAACTGAATTTTTGATTCTTTTACTTCATAAATAAACATTACTTATCTTACCAGAGATTGGATTTAGCTCTTTGAACATTTATGTATTGTCTTGTCTATAACTTGTCACATTTTCTGCAAATAGAAAAAACATATATAGTTAAATTAAAAAAAAAAAAAAAATCGAAACAACGAATACGCGATTAAGAGATTTCGTTTTTAAAAAATTCTTACATGCATTTCATACATGATTTAAACCAGTTTAATCATCTAAGATAGAAAGGATTTCGGTTCAATCTATGCAATATAAATATTTTATTAACATTATCTATTTACTATTCGAATGAACGACACTGTCTTTTATTCGGAACTGTACTATACAACATTGTAACCACAATTTGTCCTTTTATCTCGACTAAGATCGGTTAACCGAGACTATGCACCGGTTTCCCCCTTTCTGGTTTCACCACAAGATAATCTCCAGTCGATTGGATGGCAGCAAGATTCAACGGCAGCGGTATTATTGGCAACTCACCAAAGAATCCTTCATTGGTTTGCTTCGCTTATATGCGTGTATTTCATACCTGAGAAGATACCCATTCCCTTTTCGTCGTTTTCTGTCCTTTCCTCCTTCCCCACCCCTCACGCTTTGCGACTGTTCACCACTATAATCGAGGGAGATCGTTATTTCGAAACTCCATTGCGGGCAAAACTTTTTACGAAGGTAAACCAGTTTCTTACGCCGTGCTCGAGTTTTTCCCTTTGTTCCACCGTGCAACGTCACTATCTCCCCTTTTCCTCGTGTCCTGTTGTCAGAGATCTTTTATGGAGGCCGGATTATTATGATCGATAACTTCATTTTGATAGTCGTTGATCAACTTTTCACGATTTCCTTAGTTAAGGTCGTCGCCTTATCTAACAGCATGATGATACCGCAGTGGAGCAAGTATACGGGCAAGATATCGTATGCATATGTTTCGTAATAAAATAAAATGAATGCTCGTTGCCACTTTGCGAGCAGCAGGTGATCGCACTTTGATAAGCAAAATATTCGATTGCTAGCGGAACGATACGACGCTACGTCGATGTTGCGTAGTTCAAGGAAAATTCATTTAATGGCAATTTTATTTAAAATATTAAAATTTCTAAGATTTTTTTTTTTTTTTAAAGATTTATTGACAATAAAATTTAAAATGCTTTTTGTTCTTTAATTTGAAAATTGGGAAAAGTAAGGAAGATGATAAACTATTTTATGAAATAAATTTCTGTGATATAAAAATATTCATAAAAGTTAAATATGATATTAAAAATGATGTATCATGTTATACATGTATTAACTAGAATGACCACGCTCTAGATCATTTATGATTCATACCATTATATGCATAGTTTAAAAATAATTTCTTTATCGAAATTATATGTTATTATATCACTAACAACTTGTTGTTAAAAAAAGTGATATTAAAAAAATTCTTCGTCCACCATCAATCTTTTGCTTATTTCTTATTCTATTTTTATTTTGTCTACAAACTTGAATAATATTCCTTTTATCAATTTCCACGAATACGTTCGTTCCTGAAAAAAAAAAGAGGAATAATTAGAGGAATAATCACCAATCATCACCAAATATGATACCTGATCTTTTAAATCTCTGACACCTTTCATTATTGCAATTACAAAAAATTTAATGAACGCTCGAATAATTAAATCACCATCAAATCCAAACTCGAATAATTCAAAATACGCTTTAGCAATTGAATATCTGTCATAATTCCGGAAGAGAAACGAGAGAAAAATTGCTGATAATGCGAACGCTCGATTCGCATGAGAGATCGCATAAATCTGACACCTAACGGACGAAAATGATCAGCCTTTTAAAATTGATCTTCCAGAAGATCGTGATTTCCTGCAAAGATTGTAATAATTCACGCACACATAACGCTTGTGCGGTTATATATGATGCAGACTGAGGGGTCAGCCACACCGCAGGTTATTTCCAGCCCTCTTGTACCACATTTCAGCCCTCTCACCGGCGCAAGTCATTTCTTACTGACACACGTGTCTTCTCAGACGCATTTGCACTCGATATATGCATGTCACGAAAATGTTTGGCTATTATCATGCGTACAATGGTGTCCCTTTTCCAAAAATTTGACCAAAATTCAATGTTTCGAATGAAAGCTATTTTCGAAATAAGTAATATCACTTACCTCGAAAATGTTTGACCATTATTGCATAATCATGTTTTTCTTTTTTCATAAATCTTCCCAAAATGCAATTTTTATTTTAAACGTATCGGAGTACAACAAATGCAGCTTGAATTTAAATCTTTGAATCTATCTAGCTTTGTTTTAATGTATAAATAAATTCTTTTCAAGATGTCTTTTTTTCTTTTTTTGTAAAGTTTCTTTTCTATTTCAAATCGAACAAAAATATCGTGCATATTAGCATCTTAATATATACTTAGCTCATGTTAAATATTTTATTTTGCAATACAAATTATTTTATTTGCATTTATTGAGTATTTCATACATACATGTTTTTTTTAATGTGATTACATAAAGTATATCTGTTGAAAAACAAAAAAAGCGTTTTTAAATAACTTGAAAAGATGATATGTTTCTTCACAAAAGTTAAGTTAAAATTATTGCATTCACTCCGTTATTAATTATTTGAGTTTAAACAGATAAATATAATACGTATCAATTTGAATTGTTATCATGAAAAATATAATGTCTATTCAATGAGAAAATAATGTAAAAAAAGTTTTTAATATATTAAAACTAGATGAATTTATTAAGATTTCTAAGATATTTAAATTAAAATAAAAACTAAGGATATATGTTAATATGTTCGAAAGAAATTAAATTTCATAATTTTATCCGGACATATCGTTTTACCAAATACAAAATTCCAACGACGACCCACATTCACCACACGGTATTCTATTCTGGTTTCAGACACAAATGAAAGATCAAAATCCTGATCGCGTGTAACTAATCCTCAGGAGTGTAAAGACCGGTCTATACTAACAGATATTGTCTGCAAACGATTCCACGTTCCTTTTGGGCCAGTGCCGTATAGTAGGGCAACGTGACAGGTAGCCACAGGTGATGCGCGATGCGAATAGCATTCGTTTTCCTTGAAAAAGAGAATCAAAATTTGGGAAAAGTAATCATATATATATATATAATATAACCATTGACTAAACGATAAAAAAAAAACGTTATTCATAAAGAAAGGAACGAATAAAGAAATATCAATTTATTAACAATAATTAACAAAAACGAATAATAACTAATAATTATTAATTAATTAGAGACGCAAAAAATAAAGGAACATCTATCGACAGCAATAATTATAAAATTACAAAATTTATAAATGCAAATTGCAAATAATGAAGGAAACGTGAAAAATAAAGAAAACTGTTTATGCATACTTTGTTTTCACGAGATATTAAATGTCTTGTATTTAGATACTCTACGAACCTGTTCTGTATTTTCAACTCCTCATTCCCCTATAACGTTAGTCAAGTGTCGCTGCCCGCAGCATTGCCCGCAGCATTGCTCGCAGACGACGATGTGCGACGGGCAGCCACAAAATATCCACCAAATGGCAAGCAGAGCAGCACTATTCTAGGCTTTTCTGCCGACTCTGCCTTTTGTTTTCCATTCCAACGAAAGACAAAATCATGGTTAATACTTCTCATCCGTGAACCGTTCCAGAAACTTGTACTTTATCTTTTATCATTTACGAATTGCCAGCGGGCACCACGAGCACCTCAAGCGATTGTGTGTCACTGTAGATCAGCCAGAAAATAAACGTCATTGCGGCGAAAATTGCGTGTCTGACAATTTGCTCGGAATGCAAGAAAGGTGTCCAAGGCATGTTCGGCCGCATCGGTTCGATGCACCGATAGATACGTATTTCATACGTATGAGATGTGAAATGCTTGATAAGAAGATGTCACGGCGCGGGACGATGATTATCGCGAAACAATAAAAATCAATCAAGAATTTATCGATTCGAGATTACAAATTCGCAATGTGTATCAGGTTGAACGGATTCAGGGTGGGCCGAAAAAACCGGTTCCAGTTAATGATGGACTACCTATTTTAGCTTTTTTAGTACCAATAATCTCGCCGCAAACTTTTCAACCGCGTATGTTCTTTCGATGGAACGTCATCGCGCAAAAAAGGGGAAGGAATCGTTGCAGAAAAATTTCTTTACGGCTTTTCGCTTCCAAGCCTTCCTTTTTACATTTATTTGCTCGGCGATCAGGTATCTCGGACGCGGTTCCCTAAAAAAATTAATGAAGTCCCTCCTTCCAATAAATTTGTAATTTTACATACATGTTATATTTTAACACGTATGTGTTATAAATATTATAACACGAGTAGAGGAAAATTGTTTATACGATATTTTTAAAAATTCTACTTCCTTAACGCAAGCTATAAATATTTCAAAAATGGTAAGTATGTATCGATGTAACTTTTGTGCAATTTTTTAATTCATTTAATGATACAACTTTAATTCGTGTTATAAATTAATAATAGCAATAAATATGTTATCTTTTTAAACGTTATCGTTGAAAATATGATTTCTTTTACTTTTTTTAACTTATATACGTATACACTTTTCATTCATATCTTTTTCTTATTCTCATTTGTAGTATTTTTACACAAGATACATTCAGATTTGTATAATATTCAATAAATTGTAAAATTTTATGTCTTAAGTAAAATCATTTTGACAATTATTTCCTGTATCAATTTTCTTTTCTTGTAAACAAGGCAATATTGGATGAAAACGAACAAAAAAATTAATTAATTAATTGCAATTTTAGATGAATGTAATCAATAAGATTCTATATATATATTAATATTGTTTGTTGTATTCTTAAATAAATTAAAACGTATAATTTTATTTCATATTTATTTTACAACGAGTTTATATGCGTCAATATTTTTCTTTTCTTTATTTCATATATATTTTTTTTTAAACTACATACAAGTATAGTTCAATAATCGTAACTATAAAATATTTTAGCTGTAAGAATACTTTTCACGATCAGTGTATTTCGAAAACTAGTTTTATTTACGATGCTCTGCATCTTTTTCGATTGTATGAAGGGACCAAGTTTGACTTTATTTCTCGAGCACAGTATCGAATGCCCGAAAAGTATAGGTATCATTAAGGATATATTTTGTGTCTCGATTAACATTGATGTCGGAACTACAGACGACATTCGCAATAAATTCTGCGAAATTATGTTTCTCCTGATCGTAAAATGTGGAATGTAAACGAGGGCGGTTGGCGGTTTAGTCTGTGAAGAACCAAATCTGACCAACATTGTGATATTATTCGCCGGCTCATCGTAAAGAATGGAATGTAAAGAGAGGATTTGTCCTCAAGTGACCTGAGACTTCAGCAAAGGATTTCGAAAGATTCGTGCTTGATATTTAATTATGCTTTTTGCGAGTCTCTGCTGGAAATTTGAAGTTAATGATTCAACAAGAGAGCGAGATTTTATGATTTTCGACTTTGTAAAAGATTGATTTTATTTTATATTATTATTTATTTGAGAAACTTTATTCGAGAAAGTGAAAATTTATAAATATATATATCGTCGAAACAAAATGTATCATGAATTCGATTTATTTCATATTATCTTATCTAACATAGACAAAGAAAAATACGATATACTGGTACGTTCAAGGAACGTGAATACATTTGAAAATAAAACTGGAGAATTACTTTCGAAAATTATTTTACGTATTGGACACTGTGTAAATAATAGCAATCATCACTCTTGGATATCCTCACTGTTCATTAATGAAAAATAACTTTCGAGAGTAATCCTTTTACTTTCAAATGTATTTATATTCTTATGGTGCTCGTTTTTCTTCTTTAAATTTGAATGTTATATAATTAAGCTGAAAAGAGAAAGTAAAATATTTAAATTTTTATTACAAATAAAAATTGAAGATAAACAATATTCAAGCGCACTCTACTTACTTACCATTGAAACAGTGGGAATGCAAAGCAGTCGATACGACCATAGACATGAAACAGACATATTTATTTAATGCATTTTCTTGTTCCATTTTCAATATCATCGATTCAATTTAGAATAAGATTGAAAACTAGAATTTGCAATATAAATGATAATTGGAGAAACGAGACGCATGATGTTCCTCTTTTTATATCTATGTATAAATATACATTTATTATTGAAAACAAAATAAATATATAAATAGTTCTCTTCAATTGGAATACTTTCTGTATCAAATTATGTAGATGCAAGTACGAACCGTCAAGCTAAAATTACATTTTCCTATGTAAACTACATAAGTTACATTATAAATTCGTTTATATTTGTTACTTACAAAACTTGTTATAGATTTATCATCCTCTTCATTGTCTTCTCGAAAAGAAAACGTTATTGTGCATCCATTAAACAGTTCTGGTAGATTCTTATAGATTTTGATCGAGTAATAGTAAAGTGTTTTCGCATGATTTAATTTTTATTTATCGAATTAAAAATTATTATCTGTTATCGATATAAAAATTATAAATAGACATAGATACTGCGATATCATGTTTGCTATTCTATTTCTCATCTATATTTATATATTACATGTTATATCACATGTACACTTTTAGATACACAAAAGATGTAAAAGCTACATTTATATTTTTAAAAATAAAACTTTGCAACAACTCAATTTCTGTTTTTCAGATATCTCAATTTGAAAGATATATCATTCGTTTCCTCGTGCTGAGAGCATTTAACACGACAATTTCTTTTTTACCGACGTCAAGAAAGGATATTATTCACTGCAGGTGAAAACAAATGCAGCAGAATTCCAACGGATGCACAAATCACGACAAAATCATAAAATATCCCTAGAAATACCCTAGCACTCCATCGATCCGATAGAACTTCTATTTACCGACGTGACTGCATTTCAAGTGCAGTTTCACGGAATCGACTGCAGGCTCGCATTGAACAAATACGAAACGGAGTGATGGTCCACGGCGGTTACACTCGAGCGTCTTTACGAGGGTGAATCCTACCCCTGTTTTCCTTTCGAGACGCAACCCCGAGAGGGTAGGAGAGCTCGAAGGACCGACTATGCCGGCGAACGAAGATGCGGGGCAGTCTGGTGTGAAAACGAGTTCATTGGTTATATATTTTCCGGGGTGTCGGGGCGTTAAAGTGTTGAAATTTCATTAAGGGTCTAATGAAGCACACCGCATAAGGTCTCTCCGTCTCTCTCACTCGGACTCTCAGCCAGTCTCCGCCGTGCTGGATGTTTGTTCGAGGGTGGATGGCCCTTAGAGATGCGTAAGCGAATTTACATGCTTCAGGGTGGTTCTTCTGTACGCCGTCACTTGGAAGATCGGAGCCGGTGCTCCGGGGTTTTCAGCCAGAACGTCCTTTTCGCCCGGCGGATAAGAGAAAGAGACCCTATTCATCCGTTTCATTAACTTTCCGTCATTAACATATTCTCAAAATAACGATCTAAGATGTACTGCCGCTCTAATTACACTTGCTCCAAGTTTTTGTATTCAGTTTCACGCGCCGTTGCCCGTCTAAAAGCAACGCGTGTCGCGAGGCTGTACCGAATGAACGACGTCAGCCGCTGTTTTCTGGACGAGCGACGTTCAAATTGGTCGACTTAGCGGTGTTCTAAGCGCTTCTCAACCTCTCGCGTCTCGTTCTCGTCGCATCTCTCGCTTCCTCGCTCATTTCGGGAAAGGGGTATCGAGGAGGAAAAAAATGGAAATTTAATTTCGCCACGTTAACGCGCCGCGAACGAACCGAGAAAGAGAGAGAAGGAGAGAGAGAGAGAGAGAGAGAGAGAGAGAGAGAGAGAGAGAGAGAGAGAGAAAGTTGACGAGAGAACGAGGTAACTTAAGAACACCGAGCTGGGCGTTGAATGGAAGAATACGGATTTCAACGCTAATGAACATTAATTGCTGGGAGACGTGAATAAGATTGTAATATAGCGATCGTAGTAAATAAACTACGTTCCGTTTGTTTCCTTTTTTTCTTTTTTTTTTCAGGATTGTTCCTGTCGCGAGAAAACATTGTCGAGTGTTTCCTTGCTTCCCGCGACCTCTATTCTAATAATAATACGTTCAATTCTCCCGTTTCCCCGCGACGAGTTTACATTGAGCGAGTTTTCGTCGAGCACGCCTCTATTAATTGCGCACAATCGTTCGAATTAGTTTACGTGTTAAAGTAGAAGAATAGTGCGACGCAGGCAGGCACGGCGAGAAATTCCAACGTGGCGTAACCAGGATGTATTTTGAACGGGAAGGGAAAAACGTTTAATTAAAACGGATCCGTTTTCGTGGTGTTACTTTTATTAGAGTATTTTATTGTCATTGTCGAATCGTTTCTCTCGTTACTTGTGGTGACGTAAGGAAGATCCAACATGGAGGCGAAACCATCCAGATAACACGTACGTACGATTCTTCTGCTAAAATTCAATATTGAATTAATAGATTTCTTCTGATGTTCTTTTACTTACCAAATCTATTTAAAAATCTATTTATACAAAAAGAAAATGATAACGATAAAACAATTGTCATTTCTTCACACAAAATATTACATATTGCCGATTTACATTTTATTTCGATTGGATTTTGGAATAAGGATTATTTCGTTTGCCATTAAATCAAAATGTAATAAACTTGTATTTCGTAAACTACGTTTCGTCAAAGCAACACAAGCTTTTTATAAAAATATTACGAAATAATTATATTCGTAGTATCGTTATATTTGACGATTCAAGTTGGTTACATTTAATTACCTGCAATAGAATATTAATGGGCCAAAATTTTGGTGGGTTGATTATTTTTGGGCGTTTTTCCGTCTGGTCTCAACTGTAGTGGAAAAGTTAAAGTAAAAAGCTATTCGCTCGTTATTAAATGTTTTTTTTTTTTATTAATACTTATTTTTCAGGAGGAGAATTTGGAAATACGTTTATCGGACTGTTTAAACTCACGAATCCGTCATAATATTTTCAACTTTAATGTTTTTTTCCAATTTTTAAATCTCTCTGCGTTAATAAAAATTATTTTCGTTAATAAAAATTTTGTTTCAGTTGTTAAACGTTTTCGGTACGTTATAAAAATATCGATGAATTAGATTTATCAAATATGTAATCTTTTCTACGAGCTTCATAGAATCTTTTTATCAAAAATATAATCTTTTCAGTCGTCTTAATTATATAGTCTTTATTATATAGTCTTAATTATTTCTTAAATATTAATGAACTGCAATAGGAAAGAATATACAAGATTTTTATCATATTTTTTTTGGTTTAATTTAACTTATTTCTTGTATAATATTGTACACGAAGATAAAATCAAAATTATTTTAAATTTCATCACAATTTTATGCTACGATCCTTGCAGTTTTAAGAAATTTTTAAGATCTTTGGAAAATCAAAAATACTTGATGAACTTTGATGGAACATCGATAATGGTTTTCTGTTATTCGTTTATAGATTCTATTTAGCTCGAGTATTTCCATCTGTTAATTCGTTCTATTCTTATCAGAATCAAATGTAATTTCATCGAAAATATCTTTTTAATAATAGGGAAATACTTACACACGTATCCTTTATGTCAAATAAATTGAACAAAAGATCGATAAATTGCTCTTTCTGTCTTCTTAGATAACTTTAAATTTGACAATAAAAGGAATTAATAAAAAAATTTGATCTTGATGCTCGATGATTCATTATTTTTCCAATAATATGGCATCAATGGACAGTGGAGTAGAATGAAGGGTGGATTTATACCGCATCGTGTATTTTTTTATTAAGTTTATTTTATATATCGACAACAACACGTCATACATTAGAAAACAGAAGGTTTCTTGAAGCAAACTCGAATGAAAAGTTTTGTGGAACAATCCGAGAGACACTATGTGAGTGTGCCGCGCCATCATCTATGGAGTCGTATATATATAATATTGCGTGTCCCTGTGTGTCAGTATATGTCCATGTGGATGCACTTGTAGGTGTTAGTGTCCGCAAAATGTGTGTGTATACATATGTGTATGTCCCTGTAGATGTATGTGGGTTTTTGCATGTACATGTATTTCCGAGTGTCATGAATACGTGTATCTGTGTACTACGATACTCTTGTGTCTCCTCTCTCGTCTTCTTTCTTTCGCCCGTTCGCTCTTTCCTTCCTCACTTCTTCTTTCTCTCCTTCCTTTTAGTCTCTCGCTCTCATTCCATCCTCTTTCTCTCTACCTTTCTCTCTGTCAACCTGTTTCACTTCCTTCCTCTCGCAATTTCTCACGTTCTCACGTTTCACACTCTCTTTCTCTCTCTCTCTCTCTCTCTCTCTCTCTCGTTCTCACTCTCTCTTTCTCTGTTCCCCTTACCGATAGTAAAAACCATTTCCAACCTTTTCAGGAGAAATTCAGTTTTTTTCAATTCTCGTTCGATGTCCAAGATACGAAATCTTCTCGAACGAGAAGAGTTGGTTGGTCACGCGTGGAAAAATACATGGAAAGATTGATGGAAGAACTACTCGTACATGGGGAGCGCCTAGAATGGTGGAAGGGGAGGGACGATAATCAAACGACGAGAATCGCTCTCAAGTTCAAACGTTTCTCTCGTTCGAACATCGACATCCTCGCGCGCTCAATTTCTCCCTTTTTAGCCCTTCTCGCACTTTATCGGCTCTTTCTTCTTCATCATTCTTACGGCCCTTTCTCTCGATCTTCTTTCTCTGTCTCGCATTCACTCGGTCTTCTCACTCGCTCCCCCATTGTCTCTCTTGTCGTGAATCGCCTCCGGAAATGCCTCACGGTGAGACGCCGTGGGCGGGAAAACGTTAAAAGAAAAGACATACCGTGTTATTTCACGTATCGTGTACGTTTTCTGTGTATATAAATCGCGATGTAACGTCTAGAGAAATAGGCGGCGCTCGTCATTATTTCGGAAAATGAAAAACGGGCAATAAGAGAAGGTACAGTCGCGTGCACCGGTGAAACATAATCATCCGAGAGTAAACGAAAGAGATTTGATATATAACACGAGGCGCCCTCCACGATTCAGTCAGCCGCGCGCAGAATTTCGCACGATTTCCGTTCTGCCATATTTTTGGTGTCTCTATCTATCTATATCTCTATCTATATATATATATATAATATATTTATATATTTATATATATATTATTTCGTTTCTTTTTTTTTTTTATTTTTTTTTTTTGCGTGTGTGTGTGTGTTTTAATTCAAAAAACGGCAGTGCATCGTCGTCGAATTCATTCTCTCGGCTATGAGAAGGGAGGGCGATCGTTTTTTAGTTTTTTTCCCCCCTTTTTTTCTTCTTTTTTTTTCTTTTTATCCTTTTTGTTCTTCGTTTAATTTTTTTTAAATCTTCGCCTAAAAATTTGTCTTCATTCACCTTCGTTTCGCGACGAGACAGCCTAAAAAATGCACTCCCTGATTTTCTCCTAGA